AGAGGAGAGGAGAGGAGAGGAGAGGAGAGGGAAGAAGTTGTCGACGAAACCTACCCCCGTGTAGAAGAAAAGAAGTGTAAAATCTGTGGACTAGAATCTTAACATACTCGAAATGGTCTTACTATTTTTACTTCTCAAGGTTTACCTAGACGACGGTACGTTAAGTCATTACATAGACAGCCTCAGATCGCCGGAAAACTGGATGAAGTTCGTAAGATGTGCTCATCACGCTAACGAACAAAACACAAACCTCGTACAACGAGGAAGTAAATTATACTACGAGACGACACGTGATATCAATGAAGGGGAAGAACTGCTTGTGTGGTATGGAGACGGTTATGAAATGGTGATGGGGCTGCCGCTCAAGCTACGCACAAAGGAACAGAGTCAACAGGATGGATTGACAAGTAAGACATCCACAATGAAAAACCTATCACTTTTTTACTTTCTATTTCCGACTCCGAATTGAAAGCGCGATTTTCTCTGCAACTTTTTTTGCTACGGTGTTGAGACACAAGTTGCATGGAGCATTGCAGCGTGTAACCTACAGCGCAATTTGAAAAAATGTTGCGAGACAAGTTGCAGCAATCGTAATTGCGTCTCCGTTGCACAGTATAAACACTCTTGCGACTTAACTTGTGTCACAACGCTGTTGCGAGACGACTGAGTTGCAGAGAAAATTGCTCCTTGTAATCGCGCCTTAAAAGCTCGAGATTTTTGTGAAAAAATTACTTTACAAAAGACTGTGACAGTAAAAAAACGTAAAAACATATTAAATAAATATATGCATATATATAATATGGACGCGACGTTACGTGTGCTACGTCATTATCAAGCAAAAATAAACAAAAAATGCAAGTTTTTTTAAGCTGTTGTTTTTTCTATATAAATTCCTCCTCTCGGACCCAGCTGATCTGCGCGCGCTAATGTTGTGATAGTTCTCTTGATAACAACAGTTTTTCGGGAGTCAAAAAATAGAATATGCACGAAAGTTGGACTTCAGGACGACTTTAAAATATGACATTAACGTATGACATTTCTCTTTTGCACCCAGATAGTCCCAGCTACCCTTGCGAGCGATGCGGTAAGCTCTTCGCCTACGACTATTATCGAGACAAGCACCTCAAGTACACAAGGTGCTTGGACAAAGGTGACCGTCGATTCCCGTGCTCGTTGTGTGACAGATCGTTCGACAAGCGTGACAGACTACGCATTCACGTTCTTCACGTCCACGAAAAGCACAGACCTCACCAGTGCACGGTGTGTGACAAACGCTTCTCGCAGTCTTCCAGTCTCAATAAACACATGCGCGTACACAGTGGAGAGCGACCGTACAGATGTCCTCACTGTGAGAAGGCATTCACGGCGTCTTCTATTCTGCGCACGCATATCCGACAACACAGTGGCGAGAAACCATTTAAGTGCAAGCACTGTGGACGCGCATTTGCGTCACACGCCGCGCATGACAGTCACGTTCGTCGTACTCATCTCAGAGCGAAGACGTGGACTTGCGAGTTTTGCGGGCTCTCTTTCTCCGACGTTAAGCAACTTCATTTTCATCGAACTGTCCACGGACAAGAAGGACCATTCTCGTGTGAATGGTGCCATCGAAAATTCCAATCCAGATTCTTGCGTGATATTCATCAAAACAGTTTTGAGTGTCTTGTTGGAGAGAGAATCCCCACATCTCCAATGGCGTCGTGAATATTGCACTCAGCCCAAATTTTAAGAATTCTTATAGCTTAAATCTTCTCTCTTCCAGTTATTCCAAGCTTCAATATATCTATATTCACAAATTGTATAACCTCAGTCAAATAAACAATACCGACACTTGATAATTCTCGCAGGTCGCCACTTAATAGAGGTTGTACTGTAATATAACTATGATCTTGTAAATACCATAAACAGATATTTATAATAAACTATGAAGTATTAAATGAAGGTTGCAGTTGTGTAACATTTGAGTTCATTCGACGTTTAGCACTTTGGAGCTGGACGACTGAAAAGTCATAACGTCACAAAGAGAATCTCTCTGAAAAATCCAACTAAGATGCTGTGGAATGAAAGGAAGTAAACTTTGGGAATTTTAGGGCTTTTGCTATATCAGAGCTTGGAAGAGCTTCGAGAACGATGTAGGCAAACTATGTAAACAATAATATAGGGGCGCTGTGCATTGTAGTTGACTAGGATTTAAGAAACTTATTCCCGAGAAATTGGAGTATGAAAAACGTAAAGTCATGAAAATAATAACAAAAGTTAAAACTTTCAGAGCCATTTTGGGAACATCCTCAGACAGCAATTCTTACAAATCCTAATGCGTCAGGAATTAGAAATAAGGCGTAAGGCATACTAATATTTAAAAGGGTGGGGTGGGGTGGGGGTAGAGGAAGTGCAGGGGAGGATGAGGAGGAAGGGGAGGGTTAGTAGGATGGGGGAGGGGAAGGGTGAGGAGGAAGGGGAGGGGGAAGGGAGCATAAATGTTCGAAAGATCGAAGCACCAAATTAAATCATTAGATATTTTACATATATATATTTAATTATTTCTCCCTCTCTGGCCACCAGAGACATTTTACTTGACTTTTCATGTTTCGCAGTCAATATGTTAGAAGTGGTCTGGCCAAAGCCGGTTGGACGGTTGGACTTACAGGTGTCCATCTCTCAGGGAGCCAATCAGAATCGTATATTTAGACATACTTGTCTTAAAAGATATTGACTTGATATTAAGTCACATTTCAGGGTTTTGTACTCTTAGTATAACAGGCACAGATGTACACGGGATCATCCCTACTTCTGTGATTACCATGGAAATGAAGTCAGGAGGCGTGACGTCATAGATTAGATTGAGGAGGTGTAGGGTGTTGATTTCTCTCCATCCTGCAAGGTTATGCTTTTCATGATGTTTTGGAAGGGCTACAAGATCATCTGGATCACCTGATTTTCAAAAAAAAAAAAAAAAAAAAAGATTAAAAAATAACTATCTTGGAACATTAAACTTAGCAAATGACAGCGTGGGTCAGTGTTTTCCCTTCACTAAATGCAGCAGCGTGCGTGTGATTCATTCAGCTGATTGATACCAAGCAATAAAGCACTTTTTGTTCGATAGCACATGACGGACAGTACTTGCTCTTCACTGAGTACTATAGAAGTGTGATACATGTGATTCATTCAGCTGATTGATACCAAGCA